AACCTAACCTAACCTAACCCTAACCCTAACCCTAACCTAACCCTAACCCTAACCCTAACCCTAACCCTAACCCTAACAATCCCCTACCCTACACCCCTCACCTTCGGGTTTTTCCACTTCCCTTTCCCTATGTTTCATATATATTACTTTTTTTTCTTTTCCCTCCCTCCTTCCCTCCCTCCTTCCCTCCCTCCTTCCCTCCTCCCTCCTCCCTCCTCCCTCCTCCTCCTCCTCCTCCCTCTTCCTATCCATCTATCCATCCATCCATTCATTCATTCACTTCTCTCTCTACCTTGCTATCCTCGTTGCTTCGCAATACCTACTGTTGCTTCGCAATACCTACTGTTGCTTCGCAATACCTACTGTTGCTTCGCAATACCTACTGTTGCTTCGCAATACCTACTGTTGCTTCATACTGTTGCTTCGCAATACCTACTGTTGCTTCGCAATACCTACTGTTGCTTCGCAATACCTACTGTTGCTTCGCAATAGTTACTACTCGCTACTCACTACTCACCATGGCAAAAGATAAACCAGGTACCTGCCGCATCTGCTTCCGCCACTACGCCTACCTATGGGACCACGTCAAGAAAAACCACCTACACCTCCATGTCCCCCTCTCTACCCTCGCCCATATGGGCTTCACCGCCTGCCCTACCTGCTACCAGCCCTGCCAAACCTCACATGGCATCAAATCCCACCAGTCCAAATCCGGCTGCTTAAAAAGACCCTTCCTACTCGCTCTACCCGCCGGACGCCTACCACCTCTTCGACCCCTACCGCTATAAATACCTCTATAGCCCCATCTACCGCTACCGCCCTTATAAACACCAACAAACGCCGCCGCGCCTCCCGATCACCATCGCTAGCAAGAAACAGAGCAAGGCCAAGAGCGAGGAATACACATACCTACCATAACACACCACCTCGTCTAGATAGCCCACCCGCCAGGCTACTAGACCTTCTATCTGGCAGCCAGCCGAGTACCCCTCTTAGTAGCCTACAACGGGAAATCCTCGGCAACCAATCCGACAGCCGACCTACATACCAACCAGCCCCTTTACCTACCCTCCTACTAGACCGCTCTCCTACCCCTCGCCAAACGGCACCTCCTATGGCTCTCCTAACGAGTCCACCATCGGCCTCCTCGAGGACCTAGCCTCAAACCTACCTAGCGGCCATAGCTCACCGGCCCAAAGCGAGATCCACGTCCGAGACGGCCCCCGAAACACTAGTAGTGCCTACTCTCCTACACCCTCCTCTCCTACACCCTCCTCTCCTACACCCTCCTCTCCTACACCCTCCTCTCCTACACCCTCCTCTCCTACACCCTCCTCTCCTACACCCTCCTCTCCTACACCCTCCTCCCCTAGTACACCGGCACCTCCCTCTTACTCACTAGGGACCCAGGGGCCTACTAGCCCTATCTACGGAGACGAACATACACCACCGCCACCAGATGTTGCAGACATACCTATAGGCCTAGGCCAAGACCGGTATAACACCTACCAGCCCCGAAACAAGTATCTACAACAGCTATTTGGATACAACCACGTACAGGCAAAGGACCACACCTTCCGTGGCAGCCAAGCCGCTAGCTTTGTGGCCGCCGCGGCCAGGTGTGCCTCTAGATACACACGCCAACCTACCGAGAAACACCTGCTAGACTTCCTACTACTACCGAAGGCTGGCCTTACCCTAGGCATCCAATCGGAGGAGTTTAGCACCCAATACGTCCTACAGCACTACCCGGACCTAATGCTACCCCCGCCAAGCCGCGTAGAAACCGATAGGGCCCAGGAATTTCTAGGCCAGCCAGACAACCGCCGGGATACCCCCGCTCTAGAGCCCAAAGACTGGTAGAAAAGGGCTATCTAGGCAGAGCTGCAAGGGCACTAGTAGACCCCTCAACCCTAGCTAGGAACTCGGCGGATATACTAGCCAAACTAAGAGAAAAACACCCGGAAGGGCAGCCCTACCCTTTGCCTCCTCCGCGAGCCCTAGACCAGGCCCTAGGCCACTCCCGGAAGACATCTTACAAGCCCTGGCCTCATTTGCCCCGGATACAGCCCCTGGCCTATCCGGCTGGTCAGTCCCCTTACTAAGGGAAGCCTGTAAGCATAAACAGGTGGTAGACTTTCTTACCCACCTCTGCAAGCAGGTACAGAACGGCCTAGCACCAGGGAACCAGCTACTTACCGCATCGAGGCTTGTAGCCCTAGATAAGGAAGATAGCGGGGTCCGGCCAATTGCAGTAGGAGAGCTCATCTATAGGCTGGTAGCTAAGGTCCTCCTCCAAAAACAGTTCTCTAAGGACCAACTAGCCCCCTTCCAGCTAGGGGTACAGAGCCCCGGCGGGGTAGAGCCAATCATACACCTACTAGGACACGCGGTAGATGGAAACCTTAGAGGATACACCCACGTCTGCTCTATGGACTTTAAAAACGCCTTCAACTCAGTCTCCCGAGCAGCGGTAGCCTACGGGATCCTAAGCTATGCCCCAGAGTTCTACAAGGCAGCTAGATGGGCCTACAACGAGCCAGCAGCCCTAGTGATGTATGACGGCACGGTAATTACCTCCTCGGAAGGGGTTAGACAAGGAGACCCCCTCGGCCCCCTCTTCTTCTCCCTAGCCATTCGGACCACCCTCAACAGCTACAACAACAGCTACAGAGGTCAACCGGCTATAACAGACCCCCTCCTATCGTCCTAGCATACCTAGACGACGTCTACATCATCTCAGGGCAACAGATCACCCTACAACAACTAGAAGGCTACCTGGAAGACGCCCCTATCGCCCTAAACATAGATAAGACAAAGACACACCCCTATCGGCAATACAGACCACGGGAATGAAGATACTTGGCTCCTTTATAGGGCCAGAGCCACGGAAGGCCGAATTCCTAGCTACAAGGATAGAAGAACTCCAGACGGTGCTAGATAGGCTAAAAGACCTACCAAAACAACACGCACTCCTCCTACTTAGGGCTAGCACCTCTACACTACTCCGACACCTTCCTAGGACCATAGGATCACAAGGACTCCTGGCAAGATTCCAAGACATTGACACAAGACTTCTAGAAACCATAAAACACCTTCAAGGCTCAGAGGATAGAAGACCACTAGACCAGGACCTAGTAGCCCTCCCTACTAGGCTAGGAGGCCTAGGAATACCTCTCTACGCGGAAGTGGCCGAGCTAGCCTTCCAAAACTCACAGGCTATAGCAGACATCACCCTACAGAGGATCCTACCGCCAAAACTCTTCTGGCGCCTACCCCGAGCACCCTCGCCAGCCCCTAGCAACACTAGTATGGAAGGCCACCCCAGACTAGCTATAGGCCTACACAAGGCCAAGAAGGCAACCTACAAGAGGACGGCCTAGAAGGGGACATAGACAAGGCCACAGAAGAGGACACACAAGGTCTAGACGAACAAACCACTCTAGGAAGCTAGGAGCAAGAACAGGTACAAGAACAGGAACAGGATCACTCCCAGGACCGCGGTAGAAGCAGGAATAGAGCAAACCAACAACCACAACCAAGCCTATCCTACCTCCTAGCCCAGGACACCCAACAACAGCCTAGCTTTCCCCTAGAACACCAACAACTAGACCCCACTAGTACTAGCCCTGCTAGAACCATCTACCGAGCTGCAATAGACAAGCTTAACAGAGCTCGACTAGCTAGAGTACAGCAGAAGCTCTCTTTACAGCAAGAGAACGTACGGATCGAGAACTCAGCCTTCCTAGGCCGGAGATGGCTATCCGCAATGCCTACCTCACAGCCCCTTCTACTCTCGGACATGGACGTAGCCGCAGCACTTTCTATTCGGCTTCTTACATCCCCTGAAGAAGGCCAGGACATCTGTAGACACTGTGATAGGGCCTATACCTTCGCCCACGAAGACGCCTGCCGTGCTAGGACTAGACAGACAATTGTCAAACATAATAAGGTGTGCCAGGCGTTGACTACGGCCCTACAGACCGACCCACAAAACAAAGTCACCCTAGAGCCACAAGGAGACTACCGAGGAATCCGGACAGACATTAGAATCGACAACCCTAAGGGAACCACCTACCTAGATGTGTCCATCATTTCCCTAGGCAAGGAAACCGCTAGGAAGGACCCTAATAGCACCCTATCGGCCGCGGAAAGGGCTAAGAAGCTCAAATACCAAACCCTAGGCCGAGCTTTTAAGCCGTTTATCCTTAGCCAAGGAGGCCTTCTAGGAAAGGAGACCTCACAAACCTACAAAGAATTCCAAAAGTCCCTTGGTCCTAGCACCTCGGAGTGGCTAGATAAGTATATCTCTACCACTCTAGTAAGACTCCGGGCTAGGAACTGGCTAGGATATGGTATAGACTAGATAGATTTCTTTTTTCTTTTCCTTTTTTTCTTTTGTTTCCCTCTTCCTTTTTATCGTACCCTTTTTCTTTGTTTTTATATAGAAAAGTAGTTAGACGAGCAAGAATAGCTTATATAGAAGCGTATCGAAATGCTGCTAACCCTAAAACCCTAAAAAACCCTTATATAAAAGTATATTAAAATGTTACTAACCCTTTAGCTAAGCTTTATCTACTAGATAAGATATGTAAAGCCTAGAAAGGTATAAATATATTAAAACCCTATATAGATCTTATTATTACTTATTTAAAAGTAAAGTAAGATTAAGTATTTAAGTTCTAACTATTTTTAGATATATTAGCTTAGTATTTCTTTTTTCTCTTTTTTATTTCTTATTAGTTCTAATTAGGTCTAGTCTTACTATTCTAGTAAAAGTAAGAGCTAAAGATCTAAAAGAATTTTTAAATATAAAAACATGTTATACTTATTTATTTCTATACTAGTCTTTACCTTATAAGAAATAGAAGTTTCTATATAAAAGTATTTATCTTTCTACTTATTAAAAGTTCTAGACTTACTATTTGTTTTATATTTATTCTATAAAAATCAGATTAATTATCTAGGGTAAACTTTAGGGCTAACGCCCTAGAATTCCCTTAGATAGTTAATTAGGGACCTAGTATCCCTAAGTCTGTAAGAAAAGTTGCTAGTACGCTTAGAGAGGTTATATTAGGTGCGGTCTTCCCATCGCGGAGAGCTACACTCTCCCGCTCTACTATGATCTTAGCCGCCGAGCTAGAGTGGTGGGCGATAGAAGATTCTAGTAGAGATTGATATCTTTGTACTAATATTCTACACCCTAATTGTTTAGCCTCTGGCCCTATATTGAGTCCTTGCATAGAAGACCCAATTTAGCCCATAGACGATGACAACACCCCCTAAGACTCCCACTGTGTAGTTCATGTTGACTGTAGTGGCGGGAACATATTGTGGGAAGAGAAGAACCACGCTCATTATCAACATCCAGGCAAAGGCAACCGAGTTGACCCCGATTCCCCAAACACCCAAATCCATATAGTGCGGCGTAGTGCGTAGCAACTCTCGGCTCCATAGGACACAGGCGATTGGAATCATGTAGCTGATGAAAAAGCACACTGCTGCGGCGCCGATCATGGCGGCAAGTGCTGTAGCTGGTCCAAGACAGAGGAGACCGAAGAGACTGGCAAGAATGACCGAGGCACAGATCGCGTTATAAGGGAGCTGATGGGTACCCCTGAGTTTGGAGAGCCATGGAGAAAGAACGACGTGTCTGTCTTTAGCCAATGCCCACAGCACTCTGCTGAATGTGGTGGTGATGGTGCCGTCGGCGATAATGAAGAGAATGATTGTCAATACCATGAGCAGGACCGAAAGAGCTGTCGATCGTGTGCCGTCGACAATCAGCTGTGCCCAGGGCTGGCCGCCAACAGGATTCGCAAGATTGTCAATGTTGACTGCGCAAAACATGTAGACGATGACCATAGGAAGTCCCACTGCTCCGGCCAAAAGACCTGTTCCAACCATCACAAAGGGGACATCGCGGCCTGGGTTTGGAAGCTCGTCGGTGATGTGTGTAGCGGCATCGAAACCGGTAAGCGCCGTGATTCCAGGCAGGAGTCCGATCAGAAAGACGAAACCGTCCGATGACCATCCAGTTTCATTCGTGAACTGGACGAATACTTCGTAGGGCGTGCGCTTTGGAACCGCACGGACTAGGAACACGACCAAGGTGATCAAAGAAGCAACGTTGAGATAGATTGCCATCAGTTTCAGTAATTGCGAGTAGCCCTTGAACAGGACGGTGTTGACCACGAGCGAGAACAAAGATCCCACAGCGAGATAGACAAGGTAGATTTGGTAAGGTTCGGCCGCAAAGTCGGTATGCACAATGCTGATGAGAGCCCAGAGTAGCTGTGAAGAGAAGAGGTAGGTGCCGCATACCCAAAAGAACCAGGCAGCAGTAGTGAAGGCGCCGACCCAGTAGGATAATGTGTTAGCGATGCTCGGAGGCGCTAGAAGACGAGTCCAATGAACCTGTCCNNTGGAGTATCCGTCAGCCATAGCGAATCACACAAGAGTGCCTAACGATTGAGTACCTTGAGAGTGTGGGAAAGCAGCAGCCAGCTCAGCAAGAGATATGCAGACCAGAAGCTGGAAGAAGGTCGAAACGATATAGCCAAAGATGTATACCGGACTTCCACCAATGCCGGCAACAAAAACTAGGAATGTTCCAATTGAAATCGGTGTTGCGATAAAGGAATAGTTCATTCCAATGGCGCTCCATCGGTTGAAATGGTTACGGTCCATCTCGATTGTCTCCCCGACGTGGTTGACACTGAGCTGGCCTAATGTCTCCGTGATGGCCAGGGGCTTCATCTCTTTGTCCATGACTGATGTCGGGCGCTGGAAATGTATCGAGATGAGAAGGAAGGGTCGACGTCAATGTGGAACGTTGGGTGGGTGGGGGAATTGTTGTTCGACTGGGGAAAAGAATAACGACCTGGGGATTTGGATAGATCCATGTGGTCTATATGAACACTTTCGGTCCGTGTGTGCCAGGTTGTCCTAAGTACGTGGAGTGATGGAAATCCGGAGTGATAAGAAGATTGTCGTTTATAGCTTCTGAATCGAGAAAGCCAGAACCTAGAACAAAGCCTGGCCCCTAGCGGTCGGAAGTGGGACGAAGACACTGGCGTTCATAGTTGCCACTTCGAGCAACGCTACCAGCCTGCCTCATAACGAGATTCTTCAGACTATGTGGACGATCGTGGTTCAGAGGGTGTTCAGGCGATTGACATTGGTACATATGTTGGATCGTCGTCTTTGCAGACTGATTGACGTAAGCCCAAGGAAATCAATGAACGAAATGACGGGGGATTCCAGCTGGGCTGGAAACGCTAAAGTCTCAAGCAACAACGACCCCGCGGGGATGTCATGTCTCAAGACACGAGGGTTGGGGTGCCCCGTGCTTCCCGTGCTTCCAAACGCTCACGAACTCTGCCACTTTCGTTCACAACTACTGTTTCGAGCGGCCCGTCGTTTCGGGACAGAATCCTCCGCTAATAATGACCACAGACCTGAGCTCCCGTTCATAATTGCCATATAGGGTAAGACGCAAACTTGGCCTCGGACTTCTCCGAAGCGGGGCATATCCTGCAATCAATGGAGTATTTGCCTTTTGTCCTCCCTTGATCGATAGCTCAAAGTGAGCGTGCCTGCCCTTGTACAACCCCGCGTGTGCCTCATTTCTCTTGCAGACTCTCTCGAGCAGTCCACCAACGAGTTACATTCCTCTCTTCACGGAAGACATCTGACCATTCTAGTATGCAGCGACGAGAAGGTTTTGTCGACTTCGAGGTCCCTGGGATTGGCATCTGCAAAATCTGGTACATGACTGTAGGACATCTAAAAGCAGGTCGACCACTTGTTATACTACATGGTGGGCCAGGACTATGCAGTGATTACGTCCTGAGTCTCACTGATCTGGCCAGACAAAATCGGCCTCTAGTATTCTGGGATCAGCTGGGCTCGGGCAAGTCATCGCATCTGAAGGAAAGATTCTGCGATTACGAGTTCTGGACCGAACAGTTCTTTCTTGACCAATTATCCACAGTTCTTTCCTCGTTGGGAATACAGCAGAATTATGATCTGCTTGGACACTCTTGGGGCGGCATGTTAGCGGCGGCTCATGCTGCTGAACGGCCTGCTGGGATGCAGCGCCTCGTGCTTTCCAGTACACCCTTCAGCGGAGAGATGTGGAGAAACGCCTATAAGGGCTATCGAGACCGCTTGCCGCCAGAATACCGCGACGCGCTCGAGCAGACACGGACATTCGACATGGCACCGTCAGCGGTTCACGAAAAGGCATTGAGCTTCTTCAACGCGCGCCATTTCATGGACCTTGACCCACTGCCAGAAGACATCCGCAGGGCTTACGAAGACTTGACGAGTGACCCGACGGCGTGGTTCAGCACGTAAGTCATTCCAATTCTATTCAAACTGCTCCGAAGCTAACGAAATGGCGATAGGCTTGGACCGGACGAGTTCGAGTGGTCTGGATCCCTCCGCGACTGGACCATGGAAGGCCGAGCCCATAACATCACAGCTCGCACACTTCTCATGAACGGCGTGGATGAGGGTGCCGACGATCTATCTCAGCTTGAGTTTTTAAAGGTTATCAAGGCTCAATGGGAGAAGATTCCGGATTCGACACATATGGGTCATTGGGAGCAAAGAGAGAAATACATGACAGTGGTTAGTGAATTCTTGGACAAATGAGGTTGGAGTCTCTTACGCATACCGTGCATCTTCGGCAAGAACAGTGAGTTCAGAAGTGGAACATGGAACAAAAGTCACAGTGGTGATCAGGAAATAAGAAGCAAGCATCGCAGGCAGCATATCCAAGATACCATGTAGTCAAGATCTCATCGACATCGCCAATGAGCTCTAGTGGTGAGGTGTGCTAAGCTACGTTCCGGTTGTTTCTCATTGACTTCGGAATCACGAAAGCGACAGTAGTAGTCGGACTTGTCCATGGATGGGTGACGCGCAGGAACCCTCGTCATGGGCCTGACGCGAGATAACCACAATGAACTTCGGCACGTGACGCATTCAAGCAGCTCGACGCATTCAAGCACCTCCCCGCCTTCTGGCCCTAAACCTTAATTGCTTATCTACCAACCTGATTTCCTGTCTTTGAAACTGTTATCTATCAACTTGATATAATCCTTGAACGTGTTTTCGGTCGATACTTTCTGTAGAACTCACTTTTTCCATTCACTTTTAGCATGTCTCATCCCGAGATGATCCCGACAAAGTCTACCAAACGGAAACGACATCATACCAAAACACTCACGGGTTGCTGGTCCTGTCGTGCGCGCCACTTGAAATGCGACGAGGGCCGTCCTACTTGTAAAAAGTGCTCAGACGGACGTGTCCAGTGCGAAGGCTATGGCTTGAGGCTCAGGTGGAAACAGGCACAAGATCTGTCGGTCGCTCATGAGGAGACCGATGGTCAGCCATCTCGGCCGTCACGCACGAGACGAACAACCACGGAGTCTGGAAACTCAATAAGCCAAGAGCACGCGGACGTTGCGAGCATAGCAACTTCGGAACGGTCTTTCGACAGGGACGTATCTACTCAACCACCAGGCAGCGCTGTCACGCCCGTCGACCTTGTCGACTATAACGCGACGTCCCCACGAAGGGCTGATGATAGTGGTGGTCTGCTTGCTCTCGAGAGACACCTATTCTTGGCCCCAGGTAATGCTGGCCATGTGACCGACGAGCAATATCCCCAATTTGTCTCCGAGTCACCAAATCAGGCGAGGAAGCAGAACACGACATTTCATGAGGATTGTTTGACGCCGTCTCGGTGTGTCCGCGATGGAAACAGGCGGTTCAGCCAAGTCTCCAGCTACACTCAGCCGAGCTTTATCGAACCTGCGAACCAAACACGACTACACCTTGAGGAATTGCCAGATCCTGCCTTGCAACGAGAAGTACTCAACCATTGGATCGCATTTTTGGTGGATGCGTACATGCCTGTTCCCAATCTGGTCAATCCATATCGCACTATCGTCACTCCCATCGCGTTACAAGGAGCGCAGATGAGCTCTACAAGGTCTTCACCCGCGGCAGCCACCTTCTATCTCGTCTGTTCGGCCTCAGCCTCCCACCTAGCTCGAATTAGGAACGACCATCGTCTGGATGATCTGTCCTTACGCCATCATAATGCTGGCATGAAACATGTGGCACAAGCCGTGTCGGTTGACTCTACCCAAGACCCTGAGCTTTACCTGCCGCTGCTGGCTATGTTCTGTATGTGTCTGACTAATGAGTCCACTTCGGTGGGCACTCCATTTTGGCATGCACACGCGAAGGCTGCATACATATGGATGAGTCGAATCAGTCCCATTCACGCAATCAAGTCAAAGTCTGCATCTGTCCTCTATCAGACCCTTTATGCTTTTGTCACCATCATCCATCTACAAGTGTCTGATCTAGAACCTCATCGTCTTATGCTCCAGATACCAGACGGAGAATACTGTTTGGACGTGCATTTTGGTCTGTCTCAGCCAACTTTCATGATCCTTCTAGACATGTTGGATGCTCGGAGACAACTAAACCATCAACAACTATCCAAACATGACCAGCCACAAGACTGTGACGTCCTCGATTCAGCTCAATCGGAGAAACTTGATGTACTCGAGATGAAAATTTATCTCTCTTCGCCTCCAGCTCTACGATCAGACGTGGATCCAAAGATGCGTTCTATGGTTTATCACCACGGCCACATATTTTACTATGCTACTATCATTTACTACAGAAGGTCATTCCGGGGAGCATCGCTCGATGAAGTTCAGATATGGGTGTCAAAAGCACTTGATCATCTTGAAGCAATGCTGGACGATACAGAAGACGCATTTTGTCCCTCGATTTGGCCTGTAGCAATTGCCATGTTCGAATCTGTGGAGACTGCACTTCAATCTCGATCACTCAAGGCAGCAAAGAGAATCGAGGGCAGGGTCAAGTTCAAGATATGGAGTGACTTACAGGAGCTGACAGAATCTTTGCGGCGAGAAAGGGAGAGTTCAGAGGACGACATCGATTGGGAGGTCTTCTTCGAGCGTTTCACGGGCAACGCTAGTCTTTTAGGTCTCTGATCCTACATCTAACCGACTTCGCAATTTTAGAGGTGTGGGGCTCGAAGTATGAAAGCTGCGAATAGCAGGCTAGACCTCACTCCCACCGCTACCTATGACTACTTCTGACATGACTTTCTCGACCGCTCGAGAAGCTGTCGAGGGTTTTCCTGGCTTTGCGGATCAGTCTTCAAACATCGTTTCTTCTGTACCCCTGTTTCCGTCGTACAACACCACTCAGGGTCGCTTGTGTTCACCGCTCTTCCTCCCACCCGAACGCAGAACCTCACACGTACGTCCTTCCACAACCGTGGTAGAGGTCTATAGATACACATTTAGAGCCCAGTGGTCCATTCTTGTAGCAAAGGTTCTTCTTCGCATCAAAGCGGCGTAAGGATGCCGTCAAAGTCACGGGCCCGCCGTGCTTCTTAAGGTTGCAGGTGAAATCATCCAATTGTGGTTCTGTAAGTAGTGCCGCAGGCCCATAGGGGAGACGAAGGTACACGTCAAGAAGGGGAGACAACGTTTTCGAGCTAGAGCGGATATCGATAGGGCTCCTCACTCACGAGGTCATTATCCTCTCTAAGCAAGTCAGAGATTATCGTTTGCACCCAGAAGATTTGACCTAACGGATTCTTTGAGAAGTGGTAGCAAGCGTGATAAGTGAGGTTTATTTGCATTCGTGTATCTTGCAGGGTTTCTTAGGGGTTTTGTAGAATTGGATACTGCTGAGAATGTCAATGAGCCATGTATCGTTAGTGAACAATTGGAGCTCAGCGATTGATGATATACACAAACACGGTGCGGGGTAAAGCTACGAAAACATATGACGTGCCGTGGAGACAAGCATGCAGTTCCCCCTCCCCACAACAATCGCGCCAGAGCAAGGAAAACGTTCGTCGATTGCCTAAAGTACTAAAAGCCCTCCAAACTTTTTGTGGAGCAACCTCCGTCTAGTGTGAGACAGGAGTCGTGTACCCGTCGTCTGCCATCGTAACGAATATCTACCTATTAATCTCCCATACGACGTCAATTCAGATGGGGTGTTCCACATTCAAATGCTCGATCGCTTGTAGCAATAGGACACTTGATGATCTCGGCATCAGGAATCTATGTTGTCAGAAAACTAGCTATGAACACTCTACGTCCCATCTAGCCCACTGCATACGAAACTCGACTTGTGCCTTTACTCCTGCTAATCTTCCGGACAGTAACATCTCCGCAGCCTACGGTACTATCCACATGGGTGCGACCACAAGGATAAACATCCGCGCCTACAATATTCACCAATCTGTACTTCTCCCCCAGTGCGACATTGTCATTGCCGCCAATCAATCGTTCGAGACCTCGTTCCTTGAATTCCCNCTCGTCCCACAAATCTATCTCGACAGGCAAGTCTTTGTCGACAAACTCTCTGACCTGGCTTTGTATGCCTTCTTTCCATTTGCCTTCGATGACACCAGCGAATTCGCAGGACGATGCTCCGGGGAAGTGGGAGGCCTAAAGCTCGTCAAAGCCTTCGACTTGGTGCTACAGCAGCTTNNTTCGAGTGGCGGCTCCGAGTACTTGGCCCGCAGTATGCAGACATGAGTAGAGCAGCCGTTTCCCAGCATCAATCTCCGGGGTCCCTGTGTCGCCTGACTTGAACTTGGCAGCCGCATCAGTGAAGCGGCCAAAGTGCAGGACCTGTCCAGCAGTCACGGCATCTATCCTCGCAGAGCAGGCCCCTGTGGCCCAGAAGCAGCTTCCGGACGACGTGCTTAATGGTTGTGAGCTTTTACCAGACTTCCTTGTNNCGTAGTCCAGTGTGGCAGGCCAGAGCAGAATGAGGCGGTCGTGGTGACCGTGTTTGGCGAGGGCGGAGGGAGGAGATGTGGCCATTCTGATGGCGGCGCTGGCAGAGTAGAGATGATCAATCCAGCTCAAGCAGATGTTCTTGACTCTGGCCGTGTTGTTGGGGCCCCACTTATCATGGTGAAAGGATCTGACGAAGTCGCGAAGCTCGGTGTATCCTTTGATAAGAGGCAACAAGCCTCTATTGACCGTCACAATCGGGCGAATGGGTATCAAGAGGTCGTCGTTGGCCAGCTCGTGTTCCTGTCCGGTAATCCAGGTCCAGGTACGCTGGTTCAACGACAGAGCGTCAGTGATATTAGAGATCTTGGAGCCCTCTCCCATAATGGACTGATAGAGCCTAGTGGGACTGTTGAACAGAAAAAGAGGTAGAATGCAGCGACGGCGCCTTGCTCATCAAGATTTCAATCCGGGACAGTAGGCCAGATCCCAGCCATAGCTTTGTGGAGAAGGTAATGGCATTGATTGGAACCCTTGGTGTCTCGACTGGGCCTCTTGGCCATGGCCTGCGCATCCTTGTGCTCTGAAGCGGCGAAGGCCATGGCGATATTCATCAATGCAGGGTGTTTGTCTGCGTGTCTGACGAAGATGTTTCTGACGAATTCGTGGGCTTGAGGGTCTGGGAGGATGGTTGTGTAGAGCCTCTTGCGTGTCTCGGCGTAGAGGGTCAAGCCGAGTGAGGTGCAGGTGAGGCGGCCTTTCTCGCAGTTGCTGCATCCATGGGTGCAATGGCTGCCGGCAATAACATTTTCGCACAGGTCAGCGGGTTCGGGAGCGCAGTTATCGCAGAGGAAGATAGCCTGATGGGTTTTGAGGACCTCGTCGAGCTGGTCTGCCATGTTGTGCTGTGTTTTTGTAGTATTGGTGGTGTTGGTGTTGGATATGATGGATTGAAAGAGGGTAGACCAATGATGGTTGGTCCTGCTGAGAGAGGTGGGAGAGGTAGGAGATAGGGGGTAGATGGGGGAGATGGGAGGCGGAAGAGAGAAGGAAGGAGAGATGGAGTCGCGCGGACGCTCTTTTATCTTGATAAGGAAGTGTTGAGAGTGCGAGTGCGAGCGCGAGTGAAAGTGTGAATGAAAGCGCGACGTGCAAACACCATAGAAGATGTAAGCAGTGGTAAGGCGGAAGATTCTATCGACGCGACAACAGCACGACCATCACTCACAGGGATTTCATTGTGTTTCGTGCATTGTCCATGCCCCATAGATATTAATTTACAACAATGCATCAAAAATCTAGCCACATAGCAAATCGGCAAACAGTGTTACCTGATACAATATCTCATCGCATTACCTTACCAAAGATTCTCTGACTCGTAGGTGTTTTGCTGGACGGTGACGCCGATTTCCTGCTATGATAGCAACGGTGTACAAAGTGGTTATGTCGGAGCCTGGAAATGGAATCATCAGTCAAAGGATCGACGTTGATCATCACTTCCCAGAACGCTGGCCATGAAGGTGCTTAAGTGAATCTGGACAAGTTGGAGAACATGCCTCCTTGAACATCTTGTGCCTCACAGTCATCTGCGAAGAATCAGGTCCATCCCTACTGTCTATCTTCAGATCAATTCTCACCATGACAGGATCCTGTCGATCCCTGTACATACAGACATCTGCCTCGCGATTCAGTCGAGAAAGAGAGGGTGAAGTGAAGTCTCCTACTAGCGTATACAAACAGATGGATGTGTAGGATGGAGAGGGACACCAAACAGGCAAAACATGGTCTTTGGGTGAAACGAGAGAGTCGTTAGCTCCACGATTCGGCAAGACTACCTAGTACTGTCGAGGTATACAGAAGAGTTCCGAACGGATTTCCACCTTGAATGGCGAAATGCGGGGAGTCGTTCATGCGTGGATGACGAAAGCCCCACCACAGTTCGGCGTGGAATTGTCTTTCTTGACGACTCCTACCGTGCAGCTACTGCCAACTGACACACCGACTCCAAGAGTACACCTTTTCACGAGCCTTTATCTGTCCACACGAGCCGTCGTAACCCAGCAGTCCATGAGCTCTATCAACAAGACTTCTCCGGCTCGCATTCCCGCTCACCATGGCCTCGCCGCCAACCACTGAGACGACTAGCGATACTATCCGGCCACCGTCATCAACAGCCCTTCTCATGGGTCGATACGCCAGTGGCAGTCGTAGCCTTGGCCTTCGGCCGCTGTACTTCACAGCCTGAAAGACACCCCCTAACAACCCAGCGCTTCGGCATACCCGCCCGCAATTGCTTCATCTTCGGAAGGGGACCATCATGCGGTCCCACCCAGAACAATCTTTCGCATGGAGCCTCAGCGTCCAGTCAAGAGACTTGAGGCTCGGCACGAGGAGCGAAGGGTGGTGATGAGTCCAGAGCGTTGCTTCCCTCGAACTCCGAGACGTAGAGAGAGGAGGCAGAGTTTGGGAGTCTGGCTCGACGAAACACAGAAGGTTTGGCAACTTGGACTCGTCGGCATACCATTGATTCGGCTGCAGAAAGCAATCAAACAGTCCTCTTCTGATCTTTGGAAACCCTCACTGGCTCGGAGACTTCCACAATGCTCTCGCCATACTTCTTCGGGCTCTTCTCGAGCCTCCCGAGTTCCTTCAGATGAATACTCGCCATCAATATTGCGGCGCCCATTCTCATTGTGCTGTCGTCGCCTTCGTCTGCTTCTTTGTCGACTCTGACCAGTTTCGGTTTGGTCCGCTTGTGCTGTCCTCAAGCCATCGCGATGTCTGAGATGTCTGAAGATGAGTACAAGATCTCTTTTTCCAGCTCTCCACGGTCGGGGATCGGACTCCGATCGATATCGAGCTCTTCGATGCTGGGTCGACACGACCCCTCCGTCGCTGCGCCAACCAAGACGGCGCCGTGCAGCTGACCTTCGTGATTTGCCTCGAGAGTCCATCAACATTCTCTCGCCAATAGCAAAATACCCCCAAGCTCTTTCGCCTTCGCATCCTGAGCCCACCGCAACCTTGCATATGGTCGAGTCGTCGCGTTCTGTCTTCCCGTTCCTGCTTCTTCGATCGGTTTCACCGTCATCTGTCAACAACCCTTGTCGCAGTCGCCGCCCTTGTACCGCTCTCGGTCTCTGTGACATTGGACTTTCGGAGTCCTAAGTGGAACGCAAATTTCAACACCGCTCTTGCTACATCATATGCCGCTGCTCATTCAGCACGTCACCCAATGTCAGAAAAGAAGATCAATAGGAAGCATGAGCGTCAGGAGAAAAGAGATCAAGCGGGATGAATCGAGAGAAAGCTGTAAGGAGATACATGACGTTAGATCGATGGTGAACATCAGCCGCTGAGATGATCTACCACAAGGAACAAGAGCATGGAAGGCCTGTATCGAAGCAGGATCAGCTGAAGAGTGAGACTTCGGAAACCGTTGAAACTGCTAATAGCCGTAAGCTGCGAGAGCCGTTGCAAGTTCGGGTTCCTTCGGTCAGGCATGGCGTACCAGACCATCTACAGCTCACAGGTGCCCTGTATGGGACTCTCGAGGATGTCGTTAACCCAGCGTTGAAATTAATAGACCATGTCGCGCAGCCATATTGCGACGCTTCTTGTATTGGGACCAAGTTTCAGCTTCAACTTTCAAGATGCGGCCTTTCCAAGAGCTGCAGCCAAGCCTTTCGCGGATTGCGGAGAGACTGGAGACAGAGCATTGCCGTTGGATTAACGTTGGAATCGGGGAGGTACTGGTCTCAACGCGCATTCACTCTAGAATGCGTAACACATAGTCATTTGGTCTACATACATGCTTGGTCTCGCTTGAATGGGCGAATGATGCATGTGTGAAACAACGATCGCTCTCTCCGAGAAGTCAGCCCTTCGCAACGTCGAAGGTTATCGGAACGCCGTTTCCAAAGGCTGAACAGGATCCAGTGCCATCGCAATAAACAAACGTGGAGGATTCACGCAGATGACGATATATTGGTCAGTACTCACCGTGCTCATATCACAAGTCTTTTGTTCTTTCTTTGTCAGAACTCGTAAGATATGCATAATTCACAACGTATATCGCTGATTATCGTCGGTGTATTGGCGACATTCCTTGGAAGTATGTACCCCTCGACTCAAGAACTTTAAGATAGATTGCTGATCAGAGATACACTAGCCGCGGTGATACTACTTCGAGGCTATGTATGGCACACGCGAAGAAGAAAACAGGGGCTCGATGACCTTTTCATGGGGATTGCATGGGTGCGCTCGTTTTTACCAGCAGGTACTGAAGATATTAATCAAATCAGNGTTTTCTCGATCGGCTTCACAATCGCTTCATTCATATCCGTCAAGTATGGGGTCAGTTTGGAGACAAACAAGCTTCCGCCAGGTCACCAGGAAAAGGCAGTTCAGGTATGTTCGGTTGTTCCTCAGAGTCGCTTTNNCGCTGGACTAAATATTCATACCGTGTAGGCCATATATGCCATACAGATCTTCTACTACCTCAGTGTGTTCTGTGTCAAGACAAGTATCATGTGTCTATACCTTCGCATATGTAAGACTTTGGAACTCCTAAGGACATGTGCTCTGGCTTATGTTTACAGCNNCGAAGGTTTGCGGACATGGTTCTGGAGAGCAAGTGTCGCTACCATTGCCCTGCTGGTAGCCCAGTTCACTTCCACCATCCTTGTGACTGTTCTACAATGTCGTCCCACACCGAGATACTGGGATCCGAGCATACCGGGAACTTGCATCAACATCAATGCCTTCTTCTATTGTAAGTGGAAATGCTCTTGATCATGGCCGTTACCTGACAAAAATACCAAACANGCAACGAATATATTCACCATCGCCTCTGATATATTGATCTTTGCACTGCCGATACCTCTACTCTGGTCGCTTAAGAAGACGTCAAAGAGAGACAGATGGGCTGTACTTGCAGCATTCTTGGTCGGCTTCGTCTCTACCATTGTGTCTTGTGTACGGCTGTACTCAATCAGAGTATACACATTGTCAAAAGAGCCAGTAAGAGAAGCCGCACCGATTAATCTCTGGTCGTTCCTCGAGATCAATCTGGGTATACTGTGTACTTCCGGTCCAGGTAAGAGAGCAATGATGTCCAGAAAAGGGATTTCGATGTCTAACAATACGTACAGTTCTCAAAGCACTCATTGCACCGTCTAGCAAGAGTATTCCAAGGGCTAGAGAAATCAGGTTCTCTTCCGGCAGACTCTCATTCGTCGGATCTGGGGAAAAGAGCAATCTACCGTCACCGAAACAGAGGATGTCTCGTCTCATGAGGATATCTTGTCCCTCGAGGATGTTTTGTCTCTCAAAGTATGATATAATAATCTCTCATGTGTAATAGATTGACGCCAGAATCGTGGTCTTGACCAGGTATAGAAAACATGTGGTCATTTTCGGGGACCATCATGGTCTCTTTCACTCTCACATACAGTGCTATGATACGCTATCGAAATGCACAATCACTGGCTGAAATAAGATGAGTGACCACTGGGATAACATATGTCCTCATGATACTATACTATCGACTTGGGCGGCGGAGAGACGTAAGCGGCAGGATCAATGAGGAGTTGACTCTGTTTCTTACATGAGAACCGCGAAGTCATCGCCAGACATCTTCGAGCTCTTTGAGAGCTTCCAAGTCATTTCAATTGAATGGTCTCGCCACCAACCTCGAGACGCCTTTTGCAGGCCATCCTCATCGTGCCATAGTCGCTTCTGTTTACTTCATTGTCAGCTCTGGCCAGTCTTCGATATCGTGCGCTTCCGCTATCAACTCTCGTCTTCTTCCTGGATTTGCGCATTCAAGACCACCTCAATCTATCACAATATCTCAATTCAGAGGCCAACAACGTACAAGCGAAGCTGCATTCGAAGACGACCAAGTCACCATCGTCCTCATATCCACCCTCGCTATTGACAGCAATTCCACCTCTATTGCCGATGACGCCGCCCCTTCGGAAAGGCCAATAACGAGAACAAGGATGATGACGATGGCCTGGTGGTCAAGAACAGCTTCACAAGTCGTCGGAGGTTCTTGTTCTAGATCCGACTCCCCTCAGATGCTGACATACCCATACGGTCGTCTCGTCAACAGCGCAATATCACCAAGCTCTTTTACCCTTCACGATCTATATCTGCCACAATCTCGTCCGCGGTCGAGCGCTCTCGTTCCATCTGTTTGTACAGCACCGTCGATGTCGACAAGCAGTCCCAGATCGGCCTGTCTTCTATCAACTCATCGTATCATTCCCATTCCGCATCCTGTTGCGCTCTTGTCGTTCGAGTCGCCAGACGTTGCTCGTTACCATCCAGGCTCTTCACCACCGCCCGTCACTCTTCACTAGCGCCTATCACGCTTTGGGTGAGTGCTCGAGCATTGCATACCGGACGGGTGTTGTGTCTACGAGATATACACAAAGAGTGGCAAGTGGCTTACGATGTCAGGCTGTCCAGCCTGGTAGTGGTTGCATTGTCATCCCCCAACCCTCCAACACCACAAGTCAAGAGGCAGAAGCAGAAGCGGGAAGCGCTCGAGGACATTCTTGCGGCTCATCGAATTCATTCCAGAGAAACGTGACAATGTCAGCCGACACCAAGGGTGGAAAACGCCACCGTCACCTGGCTGCAGGAGGTCTCGTTTGCCAACTCTCTTCGGAATCTCTCCCCACCGCCAACAAAACTGTCGCCTTTTGCTATCGTGTGACCAGGCTGACGCTACCGTCATATCTGCAGCGCTCGTGGGAAAGCCAAGGATGCTGTAGCTGTTGGAGTATTGCGTTTTTCATGCGTTGCTGAAATGTTGTGGTCACTTAGGGAGTTTGGTTGGTATTGCTTGACGCGTAAGGCTCGCTGCGATGGAGAGTGTCGACGCCATGAGGCTGAAGACTTCCTTCAGATACATGTAATGGTCCGGAGGCGCACTCCCGTGGCCGAGTGTTGAGTTTCAAACCAGAGCAGTACTGTAGAAGATCGCAATGTATGCATGACACTCCGTTGGAGTGCATGGCCCTAGTCAAATACGATCGGCTTGCACGGAGGATACGACATCCGCACCTTCTCCCATAGAGGAAAACTCAACCAATCGTCCCGAAAATCTTTACTACCATTTTTCGAAGGCCAGATAGAATGGAAGACTTTCCAATACTCGAGATCTTGGGGGTGGGCCAAGAATTTGGCTTCTTTCTCATCTAGAGCCAATCTTCTCCTCTGCTGCAATTCCGTGACCGTAAAGTCTTCTTTGTCGTCCCGCCCTACCCGCTTGAATAGCCATGATCGAGCCAAGTTCTGGACAATCGCTGCAAAAGTAGGTGGTAGTCTGGCAGCAGTGCCGTATTCACCTGCTCCAGTCGGCCACAGTTTGAGTCGCTCCAGCGGTCTGCCGGTTCTGTTCTGGCTGATGGTCTTCCAGATAGAGCAGGCCAGTGCTTCATCCACTGCGCAATTAATGAAAGCTTCCTTCAACTCACCCTTTTTCAACCACGGGTATCTTTGAGTCTCTACAAGCTCTTGATCCTCCTTGTCGAAATTGGGCGCGTATGCAGGATCTCAATTTACCCGCCAATTTGAGGATTCCAATATGAGGGAAAGAGATTTCAAGTTTGTCATCTCGCTAAAGCATCTGTAAATTTCAGCCTCTGCTGCGCTGGACTTGTCGCGCTTGACTAGGATTGTGAGCTCTTCTAGTACAGGACAGTGAGATCGAAGCTGCAAAACGCAGTCCTTGGTAAAGTGAAAAGGTAGATTCCGTAGATCACGAAGATTGATACCAACAGGTAACTCCTCGAAAGGATGCAAGCTGAGCTGCCTAAGCGTCTGTCCATGATGAGCAAGAACACCATCCATGATTTGGTAGTCAATTGGCCCGTCGATGATTAGTTGCTCAAGAGATTGGAAAGTTTGGAAGAATGAGATTGCGTGTTGTCTGTAATGTGGCTTTTCCACATGCAAGTCATCGCGTGTGATATGAACGCTGAGTGATTTGACGTGGAGAAACGACTGGGTCTGGGCTATCCATTCCATAGTCTCGCCACTGAGTCCAGTGTGTATCATATCAAGGCTCCCGCCAAGAGTAAGATGCCGCAAACAAGTGAAGTCGATATGTCTGGCCCAATCCTGTAGCATTCTTGGAGTTTTCAACCGCGTATGTCCTCTGAGCGATAATGACTTCAACGATCCTCTTTTTCCAGGAAGAAAGCCTGGGAGGCTTTGCCACGACCCTCGAGGTAGCATTGACCTCAAGGAGCCACCTGGCAAGAGGTGTAGGACAATGACCTTATTGAGGTTAGGGGCAAGTCCAGTGACTAGCTCCATCGTAGCCTCTAGGTTGAAATCATCGTCACCATCACTATCGCGTTGAGCACAAGCAACCTTCACCGTAAAGAGAGAAGGTGATGTAGCAAGCTCCATCTCATAAGAATTGGGAACACCCCAGAGCAAGGTCCGGAACCTGAATGTGAGGTGATGAAGCCTGCATTGCGGGTGCTGGTCGTGGAGTATCCTGAGCAAACTCGGTGGGAATCGACTTTGACAGTCAAAGACAAGGTCTTCGAGCGAAATTTCGGCTTGGAGCAGGTTAATCTAAGGAGCCCACGCCATGTCTTCTTCTGACGACCTCTCGATCACACTTTCATCGTAGACTGCATACATGCCCTCGAAATTGACTGGATCCTCGTCTAGTACATTCTTAGACTCGTAAGGAGACGGGCAAGGCGTGTGTGTATGATAGCCTTCGATCTGCTTGTCTCTGAGCCTCAAAGCCCCTTTTATAGTGATTTGTCGGATACAGCTAAATGAATCGGTCCGCAAGAGAGCTTCGCGAAGCGCGTGGACTTGGCGCCGCAGGCCTTCACGACCATGGACCGTGATACAAATTCGCTCAAATATGACCGGTATTGAGACTGCGTGGCAAACAGTGCTCGTCAAGCTGAAGGCGTGAAGGCTGGGCCGATGTGCCGTTTCAAGATGGCCTGCGATATCGTGCAGCAATTCGAGTGGTAGAGAAAGTAGAGTCATACTAGTTGCGACTATTAGAGCAGCTTGATTGTGAGTTTTGAAGGCAAACGGAAGTTGATGTGAAGTCCCTGGGTAGTTCCTATACTGCGTGACGCAAGATTCTCAGCACATCTGCAGCCTGGGTTCTGGACTCTGAAGATTGTCTTTTCAATATTGTGGTGTGTCTGATGTCTCATTCTTCCGTGGCTGAGTGTTGACTTGGACGACGATGTGGTATTTATACCGTACATTGTAGGGGGTCGCAATAATATAGATTTCTGGTTACGTGCCCTCATCAAGTTGTTAACTTTTCCCCGCAGCCGAGGTCTGTGCGCGTGGCCGCCGAACACCCTCGTGCCGATTCATTCGACACTCTGCCTCTTCGCATCTCTTTGTGATACTCTCGCGCCCATATCGTCAAGTCCGAGTGACGGTCGCATACGACGCTGCTCAACCTTCGCTTGTCGGGTCTTGCCATGAGTATCTGCCTGATCAGCCGCCGTCTGAGCCATTGCCGATGAATCTCGTCCTCTCCGCCCTCCTTACTGCCCAAAACACCGCGAACGCCATCACTGTTCTTGCGACAGCCAACCCAAGTCAACAACAGCGCGCCGCAGCCCAGAAAGAGAAGGATGTTACCCGGTGGCTGGAGAATGTGAGGGGCGAGCTGTTGGGTTTTCGAGCCATTGAGCAAGAACAGACACCTCCTTCTATGAGTCTCAGCCGCCGCATGCCACCCTCGAGCCAGTTTGATAAACCTCGCCCTCTCTGCCATTCTCGCAACTGCCTGCAGCAAGAAGATACTGTCCACAACGCCCCGGACGCCTCGAACGCCGCGACAGCCTTGCGACTGCCAGACCAAGTCAACAGTAGCACGCTGTAGCACAGAAAGAGAAGGATACATCCCTGGTAGTTGATTGACGTGCGCGGCAAGCTGTTGAATAACCGTAACAATAAAGCTAAGAAATTCGGTTTTCTTGTTATACAATTTATATCTCTTTAGGTTTACCCTTTTTCTTTTGACTAGTAGCTATAATGTTATATAGAAAACCCCTAGTAGTGAAACCCTAGGCCACCCCGCATCCCTCATTTGACCAAAGATTTTTGCACACAAGAATATAAGCTGGTTCGATTGTCGGTAAACGCCGTTCTTATGCAACCGGTGGCATTATTATCTAGGCATCCACAATTCTCTTTCTTACTGTGACAGGTTGTAGAACACAAGCAAAGAATGGAAGACCTTTCCACGTCACAGCGATCCGCACG